CACCCGCCACCCCACCGCCACTCCCGAGCCTCAGGCTCACTCCTGCCTCCAGGCCTTTGCACACACCTCCCAGACCGCCCTTCTTCAGTTTCTAGCCCCACAACGTTCCTCTCCACATCTGGAATGACCCCTCCCCCATCTGAATTTTTTAATGGGGGAGGCGCAGTATGGAGACTGTCGGGGACTTTTTTATTCTGAATCTCCTAAGCACCAGGGACTCAGTCTGCAGCAGTCATAGAGGTGTGTGTGCTTACTGAGGCGCATTCTGAGGCTTGACTGGACAGGGATTCCCCGAGGACAAAAGACCTGTCTGCTGTTACATTTGCCATTATGCACAGAGAGGTTGGCGCTGATTCAGTGAACCAGGCAACACTCATTCTTGAAAAGGGCTGCAGCAGCCCTTTAGACACCGCCTCCACCTTCACGGGGTTTGCCATCTCACTTAGCAAGGCAGCCTGGCAGAAGGTAACAGAAGGTGCGAGAAACTAGGCCTCGGTGTTCTACAGGAGACGCTGCAGGCCTGGTGCAGCAGGGAGGGCTGGGCGTGAGCGTTCCAGTTGGGGTAACACCAGACTAGGGGTGAGTCTCAGACATGGTGGTGGGGGGCGTCCAGCCCCACAACTGACTCCTGTCTCCTTCTTTGATGGCCAAGCCATTCTAGGACTACCAAAGCCTTCCTCCAGGGCCCCTTTCCAGAGAAGCCCCCAGAAGGGGGAGTGAGGTCAGCCTGGCTAGGGGGGCTCTTGTGTTTTCTGTGGGGAAAGCCAAGGTATGGGCTTCACCTGGACAATGTCCCGCTCGGCCAGCTTTCCCCGCGAGGAGATCCGCACATCATCGCCATCTAGCTCCACCATGGCTGTTGGGGGGAGCGGGTAAAGACAAGGGGTGGGGGAGCTAACTGGAGGGCACCTGAGCCTGGCAGGACAGAGGCCGCCGGCCCAGGCCCCCCGCGTCAGAGATGAGCAAGCTGAAGCCGGGAGACAGGAGGAGCCCAGTCCCTGGGCACCCTGGGCACCCCTCCCCTGCCCCCCGCAGACTCCCAGGGTGGAGGCTGAAGGAGTGACTTGGGGCCTCCTCCCCACAGCCTTGGGGTGTGGGCGTGGGGTACGCACCTTGACACACCCCTCCCTGTGCAAACAAACGCACTCTCACACCCTGCCTGCTCACCCAGACAGTCAGTCTCGCACAGACTGGGGTGAGTCCTCCCTCCTTTGGGAGGGGTCACTCCCAGGGGTACAGAAAAAAGAGGGAGGAGGTGGGGAAGAGAACACCGACCAAAGGAACCGAGACACCAGAGAGGAAGTGGGATGGAGAAGGAGGGAGGCAGAGGGAGGCGGGTCACAGGTCTGCTTCTGCGAGACACCCCGTCCTCTCCTCTGCCTCTGGACCTCCATCATGTGGGACAGCTTTTACGTGGGCCCGGAGGGAGGGCCAGATGTGCCCGGAGCCCCTGTGCAGGGAGACCACCCCGTGCAGGGTTCCATGTTCCCAGGCCTTCCACCTGGCCAAGCCGGGCTGGGGTCTGGGGCAGCAGCCCCAGAGGTGGGTTAACGAGAGAGCCATAGGAGTCTGGCGGGAGCGGGCCACCCAGTGTGATGAAGAGGTGGGTGCAGAGCTCGCCAGTCAGATCCTTCATCAGCCGGAACCCCCTCCACCCCCCAAACCCTGCTGTTGGCCGTCCAGGCTCTACAGCGACAAACCAGGAGTGGTCCCAGAGAGGGCATGCCCCACAGGTCTCCCTAAAGGGGGCAGGGAGGTGTACCCCCAGGTTTCCCCAGCCTCTGTCCCCACCCCCCACTCACGTTGACGATTGCCTCCTTGGTCTGCGCCATGTCCGAGATGACCCCATCTGTGATGATGAGCAGCACCGAGTACTGGGAGCCGTCCTGCACTGCGGCCGCGTTCCTGGGGCGGGGCGGGGGGAAGTGGTCTGTCTGCTGGGACTCTGGGCGTGCCATCCCCCCCAAAAGGACCCTGAACACTGGTGGGACAGCTCTTTGGTGGGGGGGGCCCTTCTAGGGTCAGGGCGCCCCCGAAAGTAAATCCGTGGGAAGAGACGCGCCCTCCCGCCTTCCTGAGAGTGCGGGGATGGAAGGAAGCCCCTTGCGAGCGGCAGGGAGGGCTGTTCAGTGACCCGGGCTCACCTGGCCACGTGCGTGACCACGGGGGCGAAGTTGGTGGGGCCGTAGAGCTGCACCGTGCGCAGGCTGTGGTGGTAGGCCTCCAGGATGCCATCGATGCCACAACATGAGGGGTTCTCCTGGTTGCCGTTCTGGGAGCACAGGGGGCGGGGGGCTGAGCCAGGATGGAGGAGGCCTGCAGGCCTGGGCCCTCCTAGACTTCTCTCTGGTGGGGACTCGGGGGTGGGGGCCGGGGAGAGAGCCCCCAGGCCCACCACGAAGGGCAGCACGAACTCCGGGTGAGCAGTGTCCAGACCGGCTCCTTGTCCTACTCCCTGTATCTGATCAGACACATCCTCCCATCCTAGAATTACCTGCAGTTGTTCAAACCCAATGCACACCCTTTTTATCCTCATTTCTGAGGTCTTGGGGAATAGTTCAGCCACGACCCCTCTCCACCTCCACCAGGGTCTTGTTGGGAAAAGGAGGGCAGAGCCCACTGCGGGTGGCTTCACAAGGGAGATGCTTGTGACCGAGGTGGGGAGTGGGTTTCTGATCTGAGCTCCGATACAAGTCCCCACTCCAAGCCCCAGCAGGCAACCTGCCCCCACAAAGCCCACAGCTCAAGTCTCCAGGCGGGCAGGATGGGCAAGGCCCCCCACCCCAGGCCACAGCCCTTTCTCCCAGGGTCTTCTACCAGCGGGAACTCGTGGGACACCCTGCCGTCCGGGGGCAGCTTGGCCCCGAAGCCGAGGGCGGGGAACATCTTGTCGCTGTCGTAGTGCTGGATGATCTCCCCGACTGCGGTCAGTGCCAGCGCGTAGGCATTCAGCTGGTAGGGGCTCATGTAGTGCAGCGATGTTGACTGCGAGGGGTTCCCTGCGAAGTGGGGACAAGCAGGGACACTCGATGGCCCAGACACACCAAATCACCAGGCTCGAAATGCAGAAGGGGGTGTCCAAGGGCACCCCTTTCCTTCCCTTACTGAGCATTCAATCCTCGAGCAAACCATGGCTGCGAAACCCTCCGAATGTAGCCCAAGTCCCTCCTCTGTGTATCTAGTCTCTTGCTTGTAGGACTGCAGCAGCCTGACCTCCATGTCTCTGCCCTGTGTCCACACTCAGCACACCTGCCAGGCTGAATCTATGTCAAAACTCACCTAATCACACCTCTTCTCTGCTCAAAATGCCCCGATGTTCCCATTTCACCCAGAGCTGAACCTGAAGTCCTTTCAAGGGCCCACACAGCCCCACTGGAGCTGGCCTCCAGTGATGCCTCTCCGCATCTCCTACCATCCCGGGAGGCCCTACCATGCCAGGGCCTTGGCAAAGGCTGTTCCCTTCGCTCTGGGACACTTCCACAGATGTTCGCATGTCTTGTTCCCTCCCTCTTCCGGTCTGTTGTGGTCTTCCCTGGGGCCTGCTGAAAGTTACAGGCCCCACCCCTCTTCCCGGCTTGGTTCTCCATAGCCCTTGTTGCCACTGATATGGCCCATATTTTAGTTTCTTGTTTATTACGGAGAGTAGTATAGCACAGGCTGCCGAGTATTAATCCTCTTTCTACTTGCTGCTGTGTGAGCTTGGATATGAATGCTTAACCACTTGGCCTCAGTCTCCCCAGCAGCAGAATGGGGGTAATAATAGTCCCCAGGCTTCCCTGGTGGCTCAGATGGTAAAGAATCTGCCTGGGATGCAGGAGACCTGGGTTCAATCCCTAGGTCGAGAAGATCCCCTGGAGAAGGGAATGGCAACCCACTCTAGTAATCTTGCTTGGAGAATCCCGTGGACAGAGGAGCCTGGCGAGCTATGGTCCATGGGATTGCAAAGAGTCAGACACAGCTGATCGACTAACACTGTACTGTACTGATAACAGTCCCCACCCCACTGGACCACTGTGAGGATTAAACAGATGTTACTCTAACTCTCCTCATTGTTATGAATACTAAGCACCGCACCCCCTGGCCGCCCCCCAGCTCTGACATCTCAGCACTATGCCATGGTAGGGCCTGCAGAGAGAGGTTTCTGACACGCCTCTGGACTGCCAGACCTGAGGAACTTCTGATTGAGCAGGGCTTAATGCGGGTCCAGAATCCAAGGAAGGCTGTCACGGCTCTAACAGTGTCAAGTTAGGCACTGATCGCTCCCAGCCACCTGGTCACCCTGGAGAAGGCCAGAGAAGGAAGGAAGCTGGGGCAGCCCAGGCGAAGGTGAGGACTGGCGCTCCCAGCTGTCCCCGCCTCCCTGCGGACTGCAGGCTCAGTCCTGCCTCCGCCTCTCTGCACACGGTGCTCCTGCTCGTGTCCGGTCGCTTCAGTCGTGTCCGACGCTTTGCCCGACCCCATGGACTGTAGTCCGCCAGGCTCCTCTGTCCATGGGATTCTCCAGGCAAGAATACTTGGAGGGGGTTGCCATGCCCTCCTCCAGGGAATCTTCTCAACCCAGGAATCGAACCTGCGTCTCTTACATCTCCTGCACTGGCAAGCGGGTTCTTTATCACTAGTGCCACCTGGGGAGCCCTGGACTGCGCAGGGGCTGCGCAGTTTGATCCTGTGAGGAAACACCTCTGCTCCAGGGCTCCCCACAGCGTCGCTCTCCCAGTCCCTCAGGGAGACTGGGTGTCCTCAAGAGCAAGGCTGTGGCTCAGGGTGTGGAGGCCCAGAGCCCAGCTTTGTGAGTGACCACGAACCAATCAGGGAATACCTTTGCCACCTTGGCTGTATCTTTGGTTCTCCAGGCCCAAGTTCCTCCTCTTTGGGAGGATGAGGCCAGAGAGTACGGAAGACGTGGCGTCCAGCTAGGGACAACTACCACAGTCCTGAAAAGCCCTCCCCTTTCCGGGCCCCCAGTCCTCATCCAGCCCCTCGGCCCATGTACGAACCAATCAGGGAATACCTTTGCCACCTTGGCTGTATCTTTGGTTCTCCAGGCCCAAGTTCCTCCTCTTTGGGAGGATGAGGCCAGAGAGTATGGAAGACGTGGCGTCCAGCTAGGGACAACTACCACAGTCCTGAAAAGCCCTCCCCTTTCCGGGCCCCCAGTCCTCATCCAGCCCCTCGGCCCATGCCCTCTACTCACCATTGGAGGCTGTGAAATCAATGGCCACCGTGAAATTGATCTGGGTCCTAGAAGGAGGACAACAGGGAAGTTAGCTGGCCAAAGGCGGGGCTTTGGGGAGGGTCAAGTGTACTGGACTGGAGAGAGGAACCTGGCTTCCGCCCAGCCCTGCTGCAGGCCATGTATGCAGCCTGGTTGAAGCATTTGTCTCCTCCGGGAAAACTGGAAGAGTAGCATCAGCCCCACCCTCCCCCAAAGGACTGCTGTGAGCATCAGAAGAATGAAGCAGAGGGACAGCTCTCCAAAGATGTTTACGTTCTGCTGGGCACATAGCTACAATTATGTATTTCCTCTCCAAACCCTGCCCTTGGGTCCACCGGAGGCCAGAGAAGTAGGGTTTCCCTGTATTCCTGGCTCAAATTTGGAGTCAGATTCAGGGTTAAAGCTGATTTAGCCTTACTGTTTAACCTGGCAAAAAAAAAAAAAAAAAAGATAAACAGGCACTGTGCATCTCCTTAGGGAAGAACAAAACACCACCCATGAAGCTGTCTTGCCAAAAAAATGGAACTGGAGTTCAGCTGAGCTTCCAGAACTATCTACCAGTGGTTTACAGGAAACACGGGGGACAGAGGAATATGTTAAGTGACACTGTGGGGGTACAGGGGGAGCCTGTGGGAAATTCTGTAGGAGCATCACTGGAAGATCCCCCCTGGGCCAGCAGCATCAGGATCACGTGGGAATCTGTGAGGAGTCTCAGGCCCCCAGTGGACCTACTAAACCAGAATCCCTTGGTGAGGCGCAGGAATTTGTTTTAGCAAGCCCTTCAGGCACTTGGGGAAACCACTAGATGAAAAGATAGATAATGAGGAATTCCCTGGTGGTCCAGTGGTTAGAACTGGGCACCTTCTCTGCTGAGGGCACCCCGGTTTAACCCCTGGTTGGGGAATGAAGATCCCACAAGGAGCAGCGTGACCAAAAAACAAAAGATAATTATGAGACAAATCAACCAATCGTAATATATGGACCTTGCCTTGATTTTGCATTCAAAGAAGCCAATTCAAACACATTATAAGACAACTGGAGAAATTTGAATACTGACTAGACAGTTGGCATTAAGGAACGACTCGGTTTTTAGGTGTGATTTTGGTATTGTGGTCATATTTTACAAAGAGAGAGTCCTTTTCTATTTTAGAGACACATCCCAAAGTAACTAGGGGATGAGACATGATGTCTGGATTTGCTTCAAAATAATCGGGTGGAATGGTGAGTGTGTGGAACACAAGCAGCTGTGAGCTGGTAACTGTTGAATCTGGATGGAGGGTACTTGCGGGCTTATCACACCGTCTCTCCACTTTTGCCTGTGTTTGGAATTTTTCCATAATAAAAAAAAATTAGGTTTTGAGGATTCATATTCAGGGTTAAAACTTTCTGAGGGTTTGGCTGTTCTAGGTTCCGTGCCAGATGCTGACAAAACAAAGCTGACAAGACACGAATCCCTGATAAAGTCTAGTCTTGTGATTCTCACGCAGTGAGTGGAGCGTCACCAGGGGAGCTTGTTTACAGAGACTGTCCCAGGGCCTCCTCCCAGGGAGGGAGTTGGTCTGAGGTGGGGCCCCAGAATCAACACACATCCCCTGCCTTCAAGCAGTGATTGTGAGGAGGGGTCTGTAGGATCACACCCGGGAAAACTCTATTCTGAGTTGTGACCATGGATGACATACGGTGAGGTTCACCTGGGGCTTCCCAGGTGGCACTAGTGGTAAAGAACCCGCCTGCCAATGCAGGAGACATAAGAGACCCGGGTTCGCTCGCTGGGTCAGGAAGACCCCCTGGAGGAGGGCATGGCAGCCCACTCCAGTATTCTTGCTTGGAGAATCCCATGGCCAGAGGAGCCTGGCGGGCTACAGTCCATGGGGTCACAAAGAGTCCACATGACTGAAGTGACTTAGCACGCATGCAGGGCTCACCTCACCTGCACTGAGCAGGCAGTCCCCATCAGAAACCACGGCTCCCGCTCCGCTTGATCAGCTGAGCTGCTGCTCAGGGAACCTTCCATCTCCGGGAAGGGGGAAGGACATGGTGAGCAGGAGACCCCACCCAGGGTCTGCTGGCTAGAGATAGCCCTCCCCACACGCCTTCCCCCTTGTCTGCTGCCCTCGGCCAGAGCATTCAGTAGACTCCAAGCTCTGAGGGAGAAGGAGCCGCAAGGTGGCAAGAGGTGGTTCTGGCCTGTAGGACTACAGCTGAGGGACCCTGTCAGCCTGGTTCTTCCAAATAAAGGATGAGAGGAGGGACTTCCCTGGTGGTCCAGTAGTTAAGACTGCACCTTCCAATGCAGGGGGTGAGAGTTCAAAGCCTGGTTGGGATGCTAAGATCCCACATGCCTCGTGGCCAAAAAAACAAAATATAAAACAAGCATTGTTGTAACTCTTGAGAGTCCCTTGGACTGCAATCCTCTCCTGCCTAAGGGCAAGAACAGGCTGCTTAGCAACCAGCTCCATCTCTGACTTCGATATGGGGACAGAGGCGCCCAGAACCTTCCTCCTGGTCCAGATGGGTGAGGGAGGAGAGAATCCCTGGACAAACGCCTCCATCAGCTGCCTGCCTGCCTGGACACGTGCACTGGCCTCTCGCTCCCTAGAGCCTGCTTCCTTACCTAGGCTCTCCAGAGTGTGAAGAGAGGAGAGGAGGACCAGGGCTTGGCTCTGTGAGCGCCCTCTCAGCAAGATGACGGGACCTCACAGCACCCAGCCCTTGGACCCATCCATCTCTCTCACATCCCACCTGGTAGCTATGAGGCGGATTCACTGGTGGTGGTGGTTTAGTCGCTCAGTCGTGCCTGACTCTGTGCGACTCCATGGACTGTAATCTGCCGCTCCTCTGTCCATGGGATTGTCCATGGGAAGGATACTGGAGTGGATTGCCATTTCCTTCTCCAGGGGATCTTCCCAACCCAGGAATCGAACCCAGGTCTCCTGCATTGCAAGCAGATTCTTTACCAACTGAGCTACAAGGGGGAAGCTCAGCGGATTAATTACTATGGAAGAAATGCAATGTGTGGGGATGGGATGGACCCTGCCACTGACTTAAGCAGTGTGGCCTGGGACATCTTGTGTAAAATGTAGATTATCATCTTCCCTAGCCCCCTGTGTCCTGCAAATTGGGGGCACGATGCCCACAGACAGAGGAGCCTGGCGGGCTACAGTCCATAGGGTTGCAGAGAGTCGGGGACAACTGAAGCGACTTAGTGTGCATGCATGCAAATAGGAAGGATAAACAGGATGAGGGTTGCTTGAAAATTACCATGGGATATCGGGGGTGGTTTTTTAATACGATACAGTGCAGAGCAGTTGGATGGGGGAAGGAGCAAGGGCAGGGGCTGGAGCTGACGTGGGGGAGGGACGGGGAGGCCTCTGGGGGGCTGCGGGAAGGGCGTGTGCTCAGCGGGGACAAGGAGAGCTGCAAGCCTGTGGGCTGCAGGCTCAAGGCAGCAGGGAGGCACGTCATGGGAGAGTAAGTGTGGCTTCCCAGGGCCTGACTCCTCCCTCTGCCCTGAGAACCAGGCGGCCGAGCGCCTGCTTGGCTGGGATGAACCTTTGGCAACGGCCCCGCCTGTCTCCTTTCCAGACAGGTGTAGTCACTCACCTGCCTGCACCTGTGGGCTCTCGGCTACCCACACCCCTGCCCTGGCACCTGTCCTGGCAGGGAGCGTGCTGGGCAGGACCTCATTGCACCGTCAGGCTCTCTCCTCATGAGCTGTTTGGCTGGAGTCTCCAGGTTTCTCTGCTTGCCTTGGCCCGGAGGCCAACCCCTCTGGGTCTCTCTGTTCCTTAAACTTGTGTCGGACCATCCCTTGGCCTCTGTCCCAGTTTCTCCTGTCCCTGGTAGGTCCCCAATGACAGTGGGCAGGTTAATCACTGCCTCCCAGACAGACCAGAGGTATCAGAAGCTCAGAGCGGGAAGGAACCTTAGAATTCACTTAATTCCAACCACTCTGTGCTAGTGGGGGAGATGGATGCCCAGGGAGGGAAAGTGATGTGTCCAAAGTAACCCAGCCAGTTCACAGCAAAGAGGGGCCTAGGGCCTGGGCCTCCTGACGCCTAGATCAGGGCTTTTCCGCTTCCCTAAGCCCTTTGTCATGTGGGCTCACGGAGTCCCTACCACCTGCAGCTCCCCTCTCTGCACAGAGACCTCCCACGACCCAAGCGGGCCTCCGTGCTCAGGAGCGCCCTCTGCAGCCACTTCAGGGCCCTGCAGGGCTCTGGGGTCATCGTCTGCGCCCAGACACGGGAGGTCTGCTCGGAGCCCAGCATCCCAGGCTCTGGCCAGGGCCTCAGAGAGGCCAGGTGGGGTCAGCTCGGCTCAGGTCCTTGTGTGGGGGCCCCTTCCCTCCCCCCGAGGCCAAAGAAACCAGGCTGCATCTCTTCTCACCCTCCTTTGATGTAGTCGAGAAATGTGCACTCTGATTCCACAGCAAAGGAAAGCAGCGTGACCTTGAAAACAAAAAGAAGCTTGGTCAGCGGGGAGCACTGAGCAGGGAGGGGTTGCGGGGAGCTTTGCTGATGGTGATGGAGCCCCCAGCATGTGCCAGGTTTGCCCACATCATTGCAAACTGTGCCCACGACAACTCTAAAATTACTACTATTATCTCCATTCTCCAGCCCAGGAAACTGAGGCTCAAAGAAGTGAAGCAGTGTGTCCAAGGACACTGCCAGGATGTGACCAAGTAAGATGGGAACTCAGATCTGTCTGGCCCCAGACCCTGTGCTCTTGACCTTGATGCCAAACTGCATCCTGGAGGGGCCCTGTCTCTGTCACTGGAGTACAGGGGCTCAAGCCAAGGAACTGAGTTTTCTGTAAGTAGACACGGGTGCGGAGAGAGAGGGGGGTCCTCCTGACACAGGCCTAAGATCTGTCAGTGCCGACAAGCTTCATGCTTCCATATTAATCCACTACCTATTAATCCTGAAGGGCTTCCCTGTTGTCTCAGTGGTAAAGAATCCGCCTGCCAATGTTTGATCCCTGGGTCGGGAAGACCCCCTGGAGTAGGCAATGGCAACCCACTCCAGTGTTCTTGTTTGGAAAATTCCACGGACAGAAGAGCCTGGTGGGCTACAGTCCATGAGGTCGCAAAGAGTTGGACAGGACTGAGCATACCCACATGCATTAATCTCGAAATATGCTTCTTTGGTTTGCACTTGTTTTAAACCTTACTTGTCCCACCACATCCCTCTCGCATCGCCTGATCTCTACCCTCTCAGACCCAAGCCCCTCCTAAGCAGCCTGTCCTTTTCCTGGAGGTGACTGAGCACCTGAAGCCCCCTTGCCTAAGCAGATGCTGCTTGACCTATGCCCCTGGCAGCTTTGGCATCAGCTTTCCCAAGACAGGCAACTACCTGGCAGTGGGTTATGATAATGATTTAGGATCGTGGAGACAAATGAAAGCTTGGCAGTTCAGTTCAGTTCAATCGCTCAGTCGTGTCTGATTCTTTGCAACCCCATGGACTGCAGCACGCCAGGCTTCCCTGTCCATCAACAACTCCCAGAGCTTGCTCAAACTCACGTCCATCGAGTTGGTAATGCCATCCAACCATCTCATCCTCTGTCGTCCCCTTCTCCTTCTGCCTTCAATCTTGGCAAAGTCAATTAAATGAAGCAAGAATGGAGCGGGGGACAATTTACTAGTGTCAGAGAATTCCACTCTAGGATTTGTGGCGCCCCCTACTGGTACAGATTCAGTCATCTTTATCAGCTCGGTGGGGAGACCAGGTAGAGCTTCCCCTTGACCAAGAGGATGAGCCATTAGCCCAAATAACAGAGAGTCTGTGAGTACTGAGTGGGGCCTTGGAGACCCCCATTCGCTGTGGATGGACAAAGCCTCCCCAGTCTCTAGGAGTGGACTGTGGCAGTGGCCTCTCCTCTATGATCATTAGACTCCAGGGGGAGCTTTTAAAACATCTTGTGGCTGGACTGAAGACGCCAAACCAATATCATCAGGGTTTCTGGAGTAGGGATACGGCCCTGGTTTATTTTTAGCTCCTCACTTGAGTTTAACATGCAGTCAGGGTTGAATTCCACTTCAGGCCCTGGGATGAAGCAGTTAATTGCTGAGCCTGGCAGGTCATGTGGATTGACCCAGGGACTTGGTACTCAGAACAGCAGCATCAGCATCCCACTGAGGCTGGGTAGAAATGCAGACTCTTGGCATTTCAGCAAGATCCCCAGGAAATCCTGCACATAGCAAGTAAGGTATGAGAAGCACTAAATATAGATTCCTGGGCTCCCAGCCTGGGTTTCCTAAAATAGAACCCTAGGGAACTGGCCTAGGCATCTGTATATTAATAGGGATCCTGAACCCTGAGTGATTTTATTTTTTACGGTAAAGATTTGGAAATGCTGGATCAAAGGTAAGCCAGGAGAACTGGGCCTAGTCCTGCCCCTTCCCTAACTCACTGTGTGACCTGAGACAAATCATGTCCCCTCTTTGGGTCTGTTTCTTTGTTGCTAAAGCAAGAAAGCTGGATGAGATCAGTGGGTTTCATACCTTTTTTTTTTTTTTTTTTTTNAGCTCTGGAGTCTCACAGTGACTGGGGTTCTACTGCTAGCTATGAGCTTAGGCCAGGGAGGCTAAGCATCCCACCACATACAGGGATGTCTTGTAAGACAAAGGATTATTCTGCCCCAAATTCTGACAACATTCCCACTGAGAAACCCTGCAACTTTGGACAAAGGAAATATTACTCCAAGCCTGCACGTGAAGCAGTTATAATCAGAGAAGCGGTGGTCAGCAGAGTCCAGTTTATAGTCCTGCATCTCCCATGTCTGCCACAGCCACCCTGTGCCTTCAACAAGGTAGGGATGGTGTATTAGACCCATTTTACAGATGGAGAAAATAAGGTTCCTTGGAGGAATCCTGGGGGCCCCTGTCTGTGACCTCATCTGGTCTGGAGTTACCATTGGTCTGACTCAAATGGCTGTATTTGGCTGTATTCGCTGATGGGGCGGTGGCCCTCTAGAGTGGGAGGAACAAATGAAGGGTACAGACTTGGGTATGTTTGCACTGCTAAGACATTGGTTTGCTCTATAAATGCATTGCTGGGCTCTACCTCAGGGCCTTTGCACATGCTAATCCCTACAGCTAGAACTCTTTTCCCTTGATATCCTTAACTCCTTCACCTTGCTTAAATGTCTGCTTAAATCTTCTCAGAGGAACTTTCCTTGACTATTTGATACAAAATAGCAAGTTTAGGCCCTTGCATTCTCTATTGAATTATCTCACTATACCTTTTAAATTAATTTTTATTGGAGCATGGTTGTTTTTCAACGTTGTGTTAGTTTTTCCTGTAGAGCAAAGTGAACCAGCTGTATGTTTACACGTATCCCCTCTTCTTCAGCTTTCCTTCCCATTTAGGTTACCATAGAACACTGACCTGTGCTATATAGTCGGTTCTCATTAGTTATCTATTTTATGCATAGTATCAACAGTGTATGTATTTTATATGTAAATCCCAATCTTCCAATTCATCCCACCCACCCCTTCCCCCTTGGTATCCGTTTGTTTTCTACCTCTGTGTCTCTATTTCTGCTTCGCAAATAAGATCATCTACATCATTTTTCTAGATTCCACACTTCACTATACTTTTTCCCACAGCACTCCCAACCACCTGACACACACAGGTACTTGTGGGTGCATTTGTTTTCTGTCCCCCATCCCACAACTAGACAATAAGCACCAGGCGGGCAGGGGTTTGCATCAGTCTTATTCCCTCATGCCCCAATCAGTGGCTGGCACATGGGAGCACACAGTAAATATTTGTTGGAAAAAAGCAGGAATGTCCTGAAGATCAGCCCCCAGAAGCCGCTGGGCCAGTGTGATCCCAGGATGGTCTCGGTTAAGGAGGGGCCGTGTCCACAGCAGCTGCAGGCTACAGATTTAATTGTTGTGCTCACTGCCATGCCTACCACCTTCCAGCTCTGTGACCTTGGCTGAGTCACTTCCCTGCCTGCGGCCTTGGTTTCCGCTCTTGTGACGAGGGGATGATATAAACCCAGTTACCAGGTAAGAAGGAGCGTTTCTGAGCAGTGGGGGGCTGGGTGTGGCCCTGGGGCAGAAGAGAAGGAGGAAGTCAAGGGTGACTAGGGAGACACAGAAGGAAGAAAGAGCTGGAGTTTAGGCACAGGTGGGACCTTCAGGTGGGAGGTCTGGCCAGCCGAGCAGGTGGAAACGGGGGAGAGAAGTCTCGGGGGAGAAACCCAAACAGCCTCAGAACTGCCACAGGCCTGGAGGCCACGCAGAGGATCTGGTGCTGCCTGACGTATTCGGAGGACAGACAACAGTCACCAAGCAGGCTGCTGAGACGGGGGCACGTCGCAGCCCCAAGACTACACTGTGCCTGGGTCTCCCAGTCTGTCCCATGAGGCTGTGGGGCTTCTAGAATTTACCGCATCTCAAACGTCTACTCCAAAGCAGCTCTCCCACCAGAGGGGAATGAACATGGACTCCTGGGGGTCTGGGCGTCGCCAAAAGACCTGGCCACAAGCACATGTCTTTGAAGTCATCTCTGTTATCTTTAAATTAGCCTGTATTCCACATTTGCACTCTCTAATTATAACTGTTTTAATATTAAAGCACTGTTTTGTTCTCAGATCTTCCTGTGAAGTGGGCACTGAGAAAACATCCTGTTTGTTCTGGGGTTTCCAGCACCACTGGGCATGCACAGCCCCTCCCCGCCTCCCTGTGTACCAGCCTCTCCAGCCCTAAGCGGCTGCACCCAAATGCCCTGCAGGGGACCAGCACCCCCTAGGGGCCAGCAACCTCCCCACTCCTGGGCTGGAGCTCGAAGCCTTCTCCTCTCCCTCTCCTCACATCCCCAGCGTCTCCAGGGTCCCCAGGGCTGGTATGGGGTCTGCCCTCCTGTGCAAAGGGGGCACTGAGTAGCTCCCAGGACCAGGAGCTATGCAGGCTCTGGAAACGGTGAGTGAGACATCGCCCCCACCCCTGAGGATGTCATGGGCTTGGTGAGGCCGGGAAGGGTGCGGGGAGGTAGGAAGTATGATAAGGTGTTCCCAGGTGGCGCTAGTGTAAAGAACCTGCCTGCCAGTGCAGAAGACCTAAGAGATGTGGGTTCAATCCCTGGGTCAGGAAGATTCCCCTGGAGCAGGAAATGGCAGCCTACTCCAGTATTCTTGCCTGGAGAATCCCATGGACAGAAGAGCCTGGTGAGCTACCGTCCATGGGGTCGCAAAGAGTCAGACACGACTGAAGCAACTTAGCATACACACACGCACTTAGTAAGATAAACAGGTAACAGGCCTGTTTTTAGTGGGGGAGGAGGGAACAGGAGCACCCTCTTCAGACTTGGTGGGTGTGCAGGGAGGGCCTTCCTGCAGGAGGAGCATCACAGGCCGTCTCTGAGGCCCCGTAGAGACCCAACCAGGTGAAGAAGAGCAAAGGGAGCCCCCGCAGAGGCACCAGCACAAACGGAGCCGCAGGGCCTGAGCCAGTGTGGAGGTGCAGAGAGCCTCAGGTGGTATAATGGGGCAGAAAGCGAGGGTGGGCAGAGGGACGGGGAGCGGGCCAGACCCCGGGGGCTCCTAGAGCCGTGAGGGATACGGCCGCTCATACATGCCCCCCCGCTCAGCTGCACAGAGTCTGCAAGTCACAGGGGCATGACGCTTGTGTGAAGGAGCTCGGCCTTACCTTGCAGGTAAAGGGCCCTGTTGGACATCAGTTGGGATGGAAGGTTCCCCCGCTCCCCTGGGTGAACCAGGCTGAGACAGTGGGTGAACTAAATAGTCAGGTAGTAAGCAGGGCAGCAACGTGGTCAATTACCATTTTGTAGGCACCTTTGGGTTACTGAGTCAAAGCGGAAAGGCCAAGAGAGGGCTGGCGCAAAGCCCTCCCCCACCCCCCACAGGGGAGATGGTGACGGTGGGGGTGGACGGGAAGGAAGGGGACAAACCTCAGAATATTCAGGTGGCAGGAGAAGCAGGATTCAATCATGGACTGGGAGTGGGATGCCTCCCCAAGGGCCGTGGTCCCTGTGATGATGGCACAGGCGGGAGAACCGGCTGGCCCGAGGAGAGGAGGGTGGCAGGGACTTTGGCCAGCGCATTCAGTTTAGGAGGCTGAGTCTGAGGAGCGACCAGAGACAGCTGGGCATGTGTGGCGGACACCCAGGCTAACGCCAGGGCCTGAGATGAGGGTCTTTCCTGGCAGAAGCCTATCCTCTCTTCAGGCACTTCAGACACTAGAAAGGCCTTCCTGAGCCCAAACCGGCCTCCCAGAGATACCCTCCACAGTGCCAGGCCTGCCCCTCAGCAGCCAGAATCTAATTCCTTTTCTACCTGACGGCGTTTCCAACATGTGCAGACAGCACTTTGGTTTGCCAGCGCTGCAGTTTCTCTCGCTGTTCTCAAGGGAGCAGGGGCTCAATGACAGAGAAAACAAGTCGATCTAACCTTTCCTGCTTTAAGCCTGAGAGATCATGGCCTCATCTGGGCCTGTCAAGCACCCTTAGAAGGTCAGACTCCAAGAGATCTGACCCCTCCCCTTCCCTTCCCTAAAAATTTTCTTAGAAGACTCTAGGGACTTCCCTGGTGGTCCAGTGGTTGATTCTGAACTTCCTTTCCAATGCAGGGGGTGGGGTTTAATCCCTGGTTGGGAAACTGAGATCCCACGTGCCATGTGGTATGGCCAAAACAATGAGTAAATAAGAGTCTGGAGAAGGGCTTCCCTGGTGGCTCAGGGGTAAAGAATCTGGCTGCCAATGCAGGAGACATGGGTTCGATCCCTGATCCAGGAAGACCCCACAAGCCGCAGAGCAATTAAACTCCTGCGTCATAACTGTGCTCCAGAGCCCACGTGCTGAGAAGCCAGTGCACCACAACTAGAGAGGAGCCCCCGCTCGCCACAACTAGATAGAAGCCCACACAGCAACAAAGACCCAGCAGGGCCAAAAATAAATAAATTAAAAAAGGAGAGAGTCCAGAGAAAGACGGAGCCTGCTGTGTGGGCGAGAGAAGAGAGACAGCTCCGTCCTTTGTCCTTGCAGAAAACAAAGCAATTAACTGCGAGTGTCAGAGCTCTCACAAAGCAATTCATCCACGTTCCATTCTCACAAATAGCCTTGTTGCATTCAGTGCGGGAGTATAATAAGCACCTACTGTGTGCCTAGGAGGACCCAGGCCAACGTGAATAGGGCAACAGAAAGGGCTATCACTTAGTCTGTCCTTGGGGTGCTTCGGTCCAGCTGGAACACAAGACCTGTCCACTCGGGACAGAGATACAGGTTGAGGGAGTAACGCAAGGAGGGACTCAGATTCGGGGATGGGAGTCAAAGCCAGCTCTGCGACTTCACTTGCTGAGTGATGTGAGGACAGGGCCAGCTCGTAGGACGGTTGTGAAATGTAAATCTCCTGGCACCCAGGCGCTCGACAGATGATACTAGGAGATAGCACTGACGTAATGCGCACCAGGGGCCAGGCGTGGTTCTAGTAATTTAATTCTCAGTGTGCATGGCAGAGGGGGGCAGGAACTCAACCATGGTCACCCAGCTTATACATGGCAGAGCTGGGATAGGAACCCTGGGCCGTAAGCTAGGGTTACAAGCATCTGCAGTTCAGTGGGTCTGGCAAGAACTATGCCGTCCATGGAGTCGCCTCACTTCTGTGCCAGCAAACAGGCCATCAGAGGAGCAGGGCCTGAACTGGATCTGTGAGGTTGGGAGCATATCCTGACAGAAGAGCTCACACAGGCAGAGGCTCAGTGCAGACTGTCCTGAGGGCAGACGCTCTTATCTGCCAAGAGACTGGGCGTCTTGTCCAAGGTTCCCCAGTCTAGATGGAGGCGCCCTGGCTCCTGTCCCTCTCTTTCCTTCTAGGACAGGGAAGACATTCTGCAGGCCCTGCAACTGCTCTGATGAAAGGGAGGACTCAGGACCTCGGGTCTGGAGCCAGGAACCTGCTGATACCGTGCCCTACCTCCTGCCCCACCTGCACTTCTATCCCCTTGCCTGGTTGGAAGAACTCTCTTTGGGGCTGCTGCTGCTGCTGATAAGTCACTCCAGTCGTGTCCGACTCTGTGCGACCCCATAGATGGCAGCCCACCAGGCTCCCCCGTCCCTGGGATTCTCCAGGCAAGAACACTGGAGTGGGTTGCCATTTCCTTCTCCAGTGCATGAAAGTGAAAAGTGAAAGTGAAGCCGCTCAGTCGTGTCCGACTCTTAGCGACCTCATGGACTGCAGCCTACAAGGCTGCTCTGCCCATGGGATTTTCCAGGCAAGAGTGCTGGAGTGGGGTGCCGTTGCCTTCTCTGCTTTGGGGTTGAGGGTGTGGAATATAACTGAATGATCTGGAGTCAGATAAACTTAGATCGTTGGCCTCTTCTGCCGCTTTCTGGACTCGGGTCAAGTCCCCTCGCTTCTCGGAGATTCAGTCTCTTGAACTGTGAAATAGGACAATAACACCCACCTCACAGGAGAAGAGGCAAAGACCCCAGCCAGGGCTCCCTGTGGGCCTCAGAGACTGTGGGAGCTACGTATCGTCAGAGCAAAGCCCACCTCACCTCATAGATGTTGAACTGGCTCTGCCCGCGGGCCAGCTCCCGGTAGCTGGTGGTGAACTCCCCAATGAAGTCATGGCTGCAAGGGAAGGGTGCTGCTGAGAACGCGGACACGAGGCCCAGGCTGTGCATTGCTGCTCACACCCATCCCGCCACCCCTCACGTCCCTACCCCGGGCTCCACCTCTGCCCCATGCCTCTGCTCTAGGGTTCCACGCCAGCAGAGATGGTGGGGCCCTGGGAAGGCCTGGTGTCACCCATGGGGCCAGAAACCCAGTTGTAACCCAGAAAATAGCTGGGTCCTGGAGAACGGGACCTACTTCTCATACTTGGACTTCTACTTGAACAAACGAGCAATAGAAGGTATTCTGGAGACAACTGGGGACATTTGAATATGAAATGAATATTAGATCATATTCAAGAATTATTGTTCAATGTGTCTGGTGCTATAATGACATGTGTAGTTAGGTAGGAAAATGCCCTTATTTTTCAGACACTCCCAATGAGATATCTAGAGGTAAAAGTGCCATGATGTCTATAACTTAAACTACATCAGCAAAACACAGATAAAGCCACGTGGAACACTTGTCAGAGTCAGGTGATAGGCTTAAAGTGTTCATTAAACTCTTCTCTTGACTTTTCTGTGCACTTGACATTTTTCCAATAACATGTTTTGAAAAGGCATTTAGCACTAGGTCAGTCCAGGCAGCTTGAAGTGTTTTCTATGGTGTTTACATCTTCTGCATCTCTGCCCCACAAGTGTGTGTTGATGTGAAGTGCAGCAGAACCTTGTACAAAGCGGAACTCCTATCCCTCCTGTGGGTGGCTGCCTTTCACCATCACTGTCCCATAGCGGGGCAGTGGTGAACATGCTGGCCGGAAGCACCTGCTGGAGTGTGATACCTTGAGTCCACACTGTGTTTTGTCTACATATTTACAGCTTTCAGCCTTCAGATTATGAGCTCCTCAATGGTGGGACCCAATGGCATCTGGTGGCCACCTCTAGTTGTTGTTCAGCCTCTCCATCATGTCTGACTCTTTGCGACCCCATGGACTGCAGCATGCCAGGTCTCCCTGGGCTTCACTATCTCCTGGAAGTTCCTCAAACTCTTGTCCATTGCGTCGGTGATGCCATCCAACCATCTCATCCTCTGCTGCCCCCTTCTCCTCCTGCCCTCAATCTGTCCCAGAATCAGGGTCTTTTCAATGACTTGGCTCTTCGCATCAGGTGGCCAAAGTATTGGAGCTTCAGCTTCAGCATCAGTCCTTCCAATGAATATTCAGGGTTGACTTCCTTTAGGATGCTCTGGTTTGATCTCCTTGCAGTCCAAAGGACTCTCAGGAGTCTTCTTCAGCACCACAGTTTGAAAGCATTAATTTCACGGCACTCAGCCTTCTTTATGGTCCAATTCTCACATCTGCACATGACTACTGGAAAAACCATAGCTTTGACTATATGGACCTTTGTTGGTAAAGTGATGTCTCTGCTCTTGAGTACACTGTCTAGGTTTGTCATAGCTTTTCTTCCAAGGAGCAAGTGTCTTTTAATTTCATGGCTGCAGTCACCATCTGCAGTGATTTTGGAGCCCAAGAAAAATGAAATCTGTCACTGTTTCCATTTTTCCCCATCTGTTTGCCATGAAGTGATGGGACTGGATGCCATGATCTTAGTTTTTTGAGTCCTGCATTTTAAGCCAGCTTTTTCAAGCCACTTCCAGCTTCCCTGGCAAAGGTGAAGCACGGGGAACCCCAGGGTAAGATGATGAGGTGAGTGCTGGGTGAAAGCCTGAGGCCCACTTGCCTGTGATGTGGTTAAAGTGGAGAGAGGAGGGGCCAGGGTGAGTTGGCAGAGGTAGTGTTGGTGCTGGAGCTTCTCTATCAGAAGATGTTGGAAAGGTGAGCTCCTTGGAAGAAGCTGGGGCCTGATTTAGAGCTGCGTGTGCACCTCTCTCCACAGCATCCCCTGTCCACGTCCCAGACTTAGGAGGCACCAGTGGAGACTGCAGGGCTTAAAGCCCCACTACGACAGCCCCTGTAGCACCACAGGATGCAGGGCTCACAAAAGTCAGGAGGGATGGCATACTTGGATCTGGTTCAACTGGCAAGAGCGGGTAAGGGTTCTACTAAAGTTGTGAGAGGCCTATTCTGGTCCTGTCTATGGATTCCCAGGAATACCGGCTCCTTGAGGGCACTCAGATGCACAGAGGAGGAAGACCCTGGCCCCGCCCAGTGCTGGACTCAGTTCTCCTCGGACTCTGCCTGATGGCTCCTGGGCCCATTCGTCTGCGTCAAAGCTTACCTCCCCCAAATCCTGCTCCCTGCAAAGAGCTCTTCTGAGGAGTCAAGGGCCTCCCTGCTGAATTTCAGGAAGTCTCTGAGGGCCAGCTTGTCTTCTGCACTTAGATCACTCCACAATGCTTAGCCTCACACATAGAACGTGATCACCAATGCTCAGGAGGTCACTAACATCTGTCTGTACCTTAGAACATGCACGTTTCAGAAAATCCTAAATTCTCCCAAGTGTGGGGGAGACTTTAGACATTGGGTGGCCACTAGACAACTATTTGAGGAAAAGAGGCCTCTTACTCCCATTGCGCCACGTCCTGTAGGACACTGGCCTTCTGGTGCCTCAGCTGAGCTGGGCAGGGATGAAGAAAACCCAGGCCCCTCACCCGAGAGCTGCCGTGTGTGGGGGGCCTGGGCACAGCTCTCTCCCCGAGAGCAAGACCCGCCCTCCTCCCAGGGGCGGCCCCCTCCCAGCTCACCTGCTGTCCTTCTGCAGCTTACCTGCCGTCTCGATCCCAGTCGTACACCTCCACCTTGATGGTCCTGTAAGGCAAAGAGCCCGTGGTGGGATGGACTTCACCCAGCACCTGCGTGGCCTGAGGATGGGGCCCTTCTCCTGCTCTTGGGCCAAAAGAGGATATAGGAACACCCAGCAGGCTCCCAGGGCCTGTGGTGGAGAGACCCAGGAGACAAAGGAGCAATTCTGCAGCCCCAAAACTGCATAGAGACTTCCCTGAATTTCAGGCCGGATGTAGAGAAGCAACCTCAGACTCTAGTTCACCCCACCTTCCCCTTGGCCACCCCAAAGGGGGCACAGGTCCCATCATGAAGCCCTCCTCTGAGTCTATCGGGGTGGGACTGTCGTAGCGGGAGTGTGGTGTTCCCTAGACCCAAGACCTAAGCAGGGTGGGCTCTCCTGGGGCGGAGTCACAAGACTGTGGTGGGATGCTGGGGTCCGAGGAGTCTGAGTGGTGGGGAACCCCCCCCCCGACCCCTGCAGCCCGTCAGGGGTGGGCTCAGGGGCCCTGACTTGAGGATGGCCCTCTGAGCTTTTCCATGCCAGACTGGCTCCCGAGTGAGGGCGTAATTATCTTCACATTTTAGCCTGGCTGCTTTAATTAGTTTGTTTTGACTCCTGAGCTCCATGCTGGGCTTTGGGAGCCCATTTTATTTTTAGCCCGTTTCCATGGCAGCAGGCTAGCAGACCAGAGGCGGAGGAGGGTGGTGGAGGGTTGTGGGTTAACCCTTGGTGCCAGCTGTCCTCCAGGGATGCCCAGGGACGGGGCAGACGCCCGGGTCCCTCTGCGGGGTCAGGGTCTGGGGAGGTGGGAGAGGCATGGGGGCACCGGGGTCTCCAGCCTTCAGTTCTAAACAGGGCAGGCAGAGGCGGCTGCCTGGGCTGGTGTTCTATGAATATCTCATCATCCCGCCCGTGGCCGCAGCCCAGCTCGTCAGGGCTGCAGGGAGTTGGCCTTGGGGTTCCGGAGCTCCCAGAAGGAGGCGCTGTCTGCCTTCAGATGAGCCTCCTTGGGGCCTGGGGGTGGGTGTGGATTCTCCTGCATTGGCATAGAAACAGTTCCGGAAATGGAGGGGTGCCCCAGAGGTTGGGCAGCAACTGGATTTTTTGTTACCAAAATGTGAAATGGCGCGGGCACAGAAGCCCACCAATTAGAGAAATCCTTTGAATTCCTGTGAAAAACAAAACACTACATCTCTCTGAGGTGAATTATAATGGGAAGACAAAAGAACCCCTAGGCCTCTGAAGATGGGCTGGTGGTCTGGAAGGAGTGGAAAGTGGCTGGGGTGTGGACTGGGGTGCTGGGTCCTTGAGCAGTGGGACCTGGAGATGTCACTTAACCTCACTGAGCCACGAAACCATTTTGAAGGAGGCATAGTAAGGGGCCCTGGGGCTTCTCCAGTGGCTCAGCGGTAAAGAATCCGCCTGCCAAGCAGGAGATGCGTGTTTGATTCCTGGGTGAGGAAGATCTCCTGGAGAAGGAAATGGCAACACACTCCAGTATTCTTGCCGGGGAAATCCCATGGGTGGAGGAGCCTGGCGGGCCACAGTCCATGGGGTTGCAAGACTTAGCGACTAAGCAGCAGCTAAGGGCCACACAGCACAGCTGTGGGGACAGGTTGGAAAAGGCGCCTGGCATGCACTGGGTCTCTAAAAATGCCTCCTTCTCTCCACTTTAGCATTCAGGCCACACTTGGGATAGTTTTTCACATGGAGTTTGCTTAAACGAGGGGCACCTGAGCCTGGGTACCTGGGTTCTGCAACTTCTGATTCCTAGAATGACGAGGCTGAAAGTGACCTTGGCAGCATCCTAGTCTGGCCATCTGGCAGATCACCAGGGAGCTTTTCAGACACACAGACTCCCCGCACCCCACCCCCACCCCCGCAGCCCCAGGTCCAATTCTTGGCAGTTCTGGGCAGGGCCCAGGAATCTAGGTTGAAAGTCGCCACAAGTGCTACTGAGATGCATTTTCTGGAGACATGACCTCCAGCCACTGGTTTTCAGTTGGGGAAACTGAGCCCTAAGGACACCCAGTGACTTGTCCAGGGTCACACAGCTGGTGAGGGTCTGAGCTAGGACTCTGCTCCCCAGTGTCTCCCAGTCCTTCCCCAGAGCCTCCCCCTCCAGCTCTGCAGGGGACTTTCAGGGACCTCAGCATGGATCCCTCCCCTCGGATCACCAACACTAGGCCCTCAGGTGACCAGATCAGGGACAGCCCCATGCTCAGAGGCTGTGGAAGGACCCCACTCATAGCCACAGCCTTGGAGATCCAAAAAAATCACCAGGGAGGTTTTTTAAAAATCCCATCGCCAGAAGGCATGTTCAATTGGTACGGAAAGGACTCCGGCACGGGTAGTTTTTACGAGTCCCTTGGCTGGTTCTAATGTGCTGCCAGAGCCTCTAACCTCTCTAGATGAAACGACTGTTTTTCAAACTTGGTTACACATCGGATCCCATGGGGGAGCTTTAGCAATCCTGATGGTGAGGCCTCACCCTTGAGATTCAGAATCAATTGGCCCGGGGGTGCAGTCTGTGCAGGGAATTGTTAAAAGCTCCTCAGGGGATGGGAAGTTGCAGCTGAGGTTGAGACCACTGAGGGTGAGATTCCTGAGCAATCAAGGAGCCAGGGATGGCTGCAAGGGGTGGTGGTGGGGGTGATGTCACAGGAGCCTGGATGCTGCAACCTCCAGAACCAGGGAAGAAGGAGGTGCCCAGAGATGGGGGAGGCAGTGGCAGAAGCCAGACATAGCTTTGACTACTAACAGCTCTGTCACCATCCAGCCCTGGCTGGGCAGCCCCAGGTCACCCTGTGAGCCACTCCTAGGTTGCACGTCTTGGCTCCCAGTCCCTGAGCACAGGCCCAACCAGGGCTCATGTCAGGTTGTGACTTCTGGGGTCATCACCCAGGAGAAGGGGCTCCAGGGTGTGGGAAAATGAAATGACCTCACACAATGAACATCTGTTTGGCATAAAAAGGCTCAGAACACAGAGCACCTCGCCTGGGAGGCAGTGAGGCAGAAAGGGGAGACAGTGGTCTCCGGAGCAGGCAGCCCTGGGTGGCAATCCCAGCTTTTCCAGGCGCTTAGCTGTGTGGCTCTGGGCAACTGGCTTCACCCTCAGAGACTGTTTTGCACACTTGCTCAGTTGCTGCAGTCGTGTCCAACTCTGTGTGACCCACTAGACTAGCCTGCCAGGCTCCTCTGTCCCTGGGATTCTCCAGGCAAGAATACTGGAATGGTTTGCCATGCCCTCCTCCAGGGGATCTTCCTGACCCAGGGATCGAACCCATGTCTCCTGCATCTCCTGTGTCGCAGGCAGGTTCTTTACTGCTCAGCCACTGGGGAAGCCCTGGAGTCTCCTCCTCTGTGAAATGGGATAATCACACCCACTATACGACTGCCATCAGAAGGCAACCACATTGTTCACACAGTTGGCACTGGACACATGTTTGTTCCATCTAAAACATTCAAGCCTTTTTTCTAAACTCCCGTCTCCCAAACAATCCTCATTCAGCATATAAATGTCAGCTCCACAAGGCCATGGGTTTTTGTTCCTCTTGTACACTGCTGTATCTTCAGCCTCCAGAACAGTGCCTGGTATCTATTAGGTAACATGCGTGCATATGTGCTAAGTCGCTTCAGTCATGTCCAACTCTTTGCGACCCTGTGGTCTGTAGCTCGCCAGTTTCCTCTGTCCATGGGATTTTCCAGGCAGGAATACTGGAGTGGGATGCTATACCCTCCTCCAGGGGATCTTCCTGACCCAAGGATCGAACTCATGTCTCCTGCAGTTCCCAAACTGTACGTGGATTCTTTACTGCTGAGCCACCAGGAACGCCCATTAGGTAATATGCTGCTGCTGCTAAGTCGCTTCAGTCGTGTCCAACTCTGTGCGACCCCATAGATGGCAGCCCATCAGGCTGCCCTGTCCCTGGGATTCTCCAGGCAAGAACACTGGAGTGGGTTGCCATTTCCTTCTCCAATGCATGAAAGTGAAAAGTGAAGGTGAAGCTGCTCAGTCATGTCCGACTCTTAGTGACTCCATGGACTGCAGCCTACCAGGCTCCTCCGTCCATGGGATTTTCCAGGCAAAAGTACTGGAGTAGGGTGCCATTGCCTTCTCCGGTTAGGTAATATACATCTTATTAAATACCTGTTGACTGACTAAGATGTCCTAAAACTTCGTGAAGTAGGCAAGAGCAACAAGACCCTCCTTCCACAAAATCCCAAAGGGAGAGACTTCCCTGGTGGTTCAGTGGCTAAGACTCTGTGCTCAAATGCAGAGGGCCTGGGTTCAACCCCTGGTCAAGGAACTAGATCCCACAGGCTGCAACGAAAGATCCAGCCTGCTGCAATGAAGATCGAAGATCCTGTGAGCCACAACTAAAGCCAATGCACCCAGATAAATAAATATTTTTTAAAAAATTCCAAAGGGAGTGGCTTTCCCCAGAACTGGTCAGTAGTGACACCAGGCCTCGGGGCTGGGAGCTGGTGTCCCGTGGGTCTCTGAATGTGTCGGGCAGGGATGACAGAGCGCAGTGTGTGCGAGCCTCAGCAGGCCTGCAAGGATGGGGGACACTGGCAGAGACGCCTGGCTTCCCTCCCAGCACACCAAGCACCTCTGTCTATAGCCTCCTCCGAGCCGAGCTGCGGGTCTGCTCCTAATGAACCTCTGCCTCTCCCAGGCAGGAGAAGGCACGCTTCCCTGATGCTTACAAGTTCCCAGGGCAGACAGGCCCTGCAGGGTTCACCCTAAACTAACTGAGCCAGTCCATTACTCTGAGGTGCTCTGGAGAGGAAGAGAAGCATCGAGACTCATGGGCCCAGGCAGGCAGCGAGACATGAGAGCAGGGGCAGTGGGCAACCACCCTGCCTCCTCTGTCTGGGTGCAGGGGCACCCGTGTGAGCTGGGATCAGATACTCCTAACTGAGGCCGCGTACTGCGCCCGGCCGCTCCCAGGGCTCAGTGTGCAGTGGGGCTCAAAGGAGAAGCAACTCGTTCAGTCCAGGGGGCCAGAGTTTCTCT